GTGAGGAGTGCGACACAAGAGGAGTCATAGAGGTCACAGAAGTGCCCAGCGACAGTCTTGGTTGGGAAAGGGACCGCCCTCCATCCTCCATCAGTGCAGTTGCAACACATCTTCAGATTTCAATCAAGCAAAAGTCTCCAGCGAGATGACCATGTTGAGAAGGAGTCGCCTCTACCCGCGGATGTGCTGGAAATGTTACAGACGAGTGTGCGCGGCGCCACGGCGATATTCCCATTTTGAAGACGGTCCGCCCATCAGCAGTGCAAGTATTGTATAGGTCAAGAGGGGTGTGCGCAGCGCCGAGGCTATAACCTTCTTTGTTGACAACGGCCCGACCTGCATCCGTATCGCTGCCCAAACGGCACGCCTGGCGTGGCCTCAGGGAGTCGTTTATAAGAGGGAGAGAGAGAGAGAGAGAGAGCGAGAAAGAGAGAAAGAGAGAGAGCGGGGGGACATGAGATAGGGAGGGAGGGATGGAGGAGAGGAAGGAGGAGGCGGGAGCGGACATGTTCCCCCATTTCATGTTTCTTCTGCCGCCATATCCCCTCCCTCCCCCAACGCTACCCCATCTTATCCCGTGTTTGTTCAGGTTCTGTCGCGGGTGGCTGTGTTCTCCCTCATGCAGCGGAAGAGCGCGCCCGACGCCGTCTGCAGCACTGACGAGCGGGAGGACGTTGAAGCGCCTGAAGTCGGAAGCAACCTTGTTCTCGTCGGTGTCGTCGATGTCGGCGTCGGCGGCGCCGTTGTTTTCGTCGTCTTCGGCGGCAGCAGCGGCCCGCCTGTAGTTTCCTCCACCCCCCTTCCCCCCTCTGAGGCGCCCCCTGCTCTGTTCTATAATGATGTGTTCTGATTCTCGGGAAATCGGTCATCCGTCTGCTCCTTATCCTGTCCGTTCTCCCCATCATCCTCATCTTCATCCTGGTCATCATTCCTGCCCGTTGTTGCTATTGATGTCTCCGCCCTCGCACACCAACCTTACCAACCCGTTCTTCCTCCAGCCTCCTCCTCCTCCGGTCCTCTTCTCCTCCTCCGGTCCTCCTTCTCCTCTTCCTCCTCCTCCTCCTGATCCTTCTCCGTCTCCTCCTCCTCCTCCTCCTCCTCCTCCTCCTCCTCCTCCTCCTCCTCTTTCTCCTCCACCTCCTCCTCCTCCTCATCGGCCGCTCATCCTGCTTCCTCCTCCTCCTCTTCAGCATCCTCTGCCCCATCATCCTGTTATTTCTCCCTCGCCCTTGTGCTCCCAGTCCTCCCCCCCTGCCTGTCCTCCACCACATTGCCCCTGCGACACCGCACTCCATCCCCGCACCCATCATTCCTCTCCCCCTCCTTTTCCATCATGCTTCTTTCTCCTCCTCTTCCTTTCCCTCCTCCTCCTCCTCCTCGTTGTCCTCCTCCTCTTCCTCCTCCTCCTCCTCCTCCTCCTCCTCCTCCCGCTCCTTATTGTCCTCCCCTTCCATCTCGTTCGTCCCCTTTTGCTCATTCCCCTTACAGTCATTATCGTGCTGCTCCCTGATGCGGCGAGACCGAGACCCCAGACGTCGTGATTTTGCCTGCAGCGTGGACCCTGCAGAGGCCTGGACCCCTTCCCGGGGGCCGGCTCAGAGGCCGAAGGCTGCCCACATCTCCCCGTCGTGCTCTTGCGCGACGCTCCCTCTGACTGCGTGGGAGCGCGGGTGTTACGCTTGTGCTGTACTCCTTGCCCGCCGCTCCCGCTGCCGCGCTCTCTCTCTCTCTCTCTCTCGCGTCCGCAGCGCCCTGGAGGCCGCGTTCGGCTCGAGGCTCGAGGCTCGAGGCTCGAAGTTCTTTCTCGGGGAGGGGGGGGGGCTCCGGAGGCCTGCGAGCTCCCTCCCTTCCTCCTCCCCTTCCTCCTCCCCCCCCTCCTCCTCCTCCTCCTCTCCTCTCCGCCCTCCTCCTCTCTCCTCCCTCCTCCTCCTCTTGCCCCTCCTCCCCCTCCTCCTCTCCTCCTCCTCCCCTCCTCCCCCCCCTCCTCCCCCTCCCCCTCCCCCCCCCAGTGGGACGTTCGCGTTCGCGCCTCCTCATCCCCCCCCCCCTCGTGCTGCGCCAGGGATCGGGGATGCGTCGGCCACCGCCGCCCTCTCCCTTGTCGGTGGCCCTGACGAGGCTGCGGGAGAGGGTACCAAAACGCGCCTGGAGCGCTGCAAGGCCCGAGGGTGCGAAGCAGACCTGACTGGCAGTGGCTCCGGGGGGGGCCGTGCTCAAGGGAGGTTGCGGCCGCGCTCCACGATGTGCCGTTAAACGATCCTGCAGGGTGGCTCTTGCGCGATGCTTGCCTTGCCTTGCCTTGCTGCTCCTGAACCTTCTCGTGGCTAATGTCCCCGCTGCTGCTCCTGCGCTCGGCCGTTCCCCTGCTGCTGCTGCTGCTGCTGCTGCTGCTGCTGCTGCTGCAGCAGGCCGCGCGACGAGCACAGCCGCGCCCGCGCCCGGCGCGGCGCCGCGCCCGCAGCCGCACCGACGCCGCCGCCGCCGCCAGAGGGGGAGGCGGAGGGAGGCGGAGGAGGCGGAGGAGGAGGAAGAGGAGGACGAGGGCGAGGAGGAGGATGAGGAGGAGGAGGAGGAGGAGGGCGGAGGAGGAGGAGGCGGAGGAGGAGGAGGAGGAGGGAGGAGGAGGAGGAGGAGGAGGAGGAGGAGGAGGAGGAGAAGGAGGAGGAGGAGGAGGCGGAGGAGAGGAGGAGGAGAGGAGGAGGACGAGGTGGAGAGGAGGCGGAGGAGGAGAAGGAGGAGGAGGAGGAGGAGGAGGAGGTGGAGAGGAGGCGGAGGAGGAGGAGAGGAGGCGGAGGAAGAGGAGGAGGAGGAGGCGGAGGAGGAGGCGGGGGAGGAGGAGGAGGAGGAGGAGGAGGCGGAGGAGGAGGAGGAGGAGGAGGAGGAGGAGGAGGAGGACGCACGCCTCACTCCTTCCCTCCCCCCCTCCCTCCCTCCCTCCTTCCTCTGCCGCGCCATGCGGGTCCCCAGCCATGCCAGGGGCGCGGTGGCCGCGCGGCGGCGGCCCTGGCCAGCGCGGTGCGCCGCCGTGCTCGCCCTGCCGACGCGCAGCGGCGGCCAGGACGAGGCCCTCGGCTCCGCCACCGCCACGACCACCTGGTTCTGCAGCCACTCGCTGCCATCGGGGAGGCCAGAGAGGCATGCACCCAGCATCGTCGAACCTCGGGGAGCGCAAGATGGCATGAGCATAACAGCTCGGAGGTCCGCATGGATTTCTCGGATCGGCGCCGAGGCCCCCCCGGCGGCGCCTCCGGCGCCGCACCCCAGCGCGCTCCGCGCGCCAGGGAGGGGGATTCAGTGCGGGTACAAGAAAATCGCGCGGACCTCCAAGCTTGTATGTTCATGTCATGTTTCGTTGCGCTTGCATCGTCGAACCTCTCCCCATCTCCTCCGAGCCATGGCTCGTCAGCCCCACGAGGTCACCCGCAAAGTTGGGGATAGGCCCCGCGAGGCCCGAAGGGAACAGCGATAACCCGAAGGGAACAGCAATCTATCCACACCTGGGGAGGCAAGTCGGCCAATGGGACCGAGGCACTGCCATTGGGGCCGAGGCCCTGCCAGTGAGGACAGGGATCGGTTCAAACATACTGGATGCAAGAGGACAAGAGCACAACCCTCCGGACTCCCGCGGGGCGGTCCCTCCGCCGGCGCCGCGGAGCCCTCCCCTCGAAGGAGAAGCAACTGCATTGACATAAAACTGTTGGCGCTCCGCGCGGGTTTCTTGGATCGGCGCCGCGTTCATGCAGCTGTTTCTCCTCCTACCCCCGCGCCTGCCTGGGCCGCGCCCTTGGCGCCTTGAGCCCCTCGCCCGGTGCGCGGCAGCGCGCCGAGCGGGGCGCGGACGGCACCGGGGGAGAGACCGTCAGCGGACGTGTCGTGCGGTTCCAAAACCAAAACGGACCCCCGGGAAAGGAACTTCTGAGACGTCCGATTCTTCTTTCCACTTCCACTTGCACTTCGATGTCTCCAATGCAGCGCCGCGGTCCCAGAAGTCTCTGTCGCCCGCGATCCTTCAGGCAGGGCGTCAACGTCCGAGGTTGAGGTGTGCTTATTTGCTTGTCTGGCCCCCCGGCCATGGGAGGAATGCAGGGGGCACCTCCCCTCGGAGCGGGCGGCAGCGGGCGCGTTCCTGGCCGCCCTCGCGGGCGCCAACGAGCCGCCGCCGGGTGCCTTCGCGGGGCGCGGCATCGTCATGAGCGGTGGGCCTGGCCACGTGCTGCAGGTGTCGGAGGGCGTCGCCTACTTACGCGTGCACCGATCCTGGGCCCAAGATCGGCTCAGTCGAAGGAGAAAATCGCCACGAACATAATATTTTGGCGCGCGGAGCTCCAAAAGCTCCCGTGTATGGCGTTGTTTGTTCCTGATGTGTCTTCTTATGATTATGTTTCTTGTTCTTCTTCTACCACCGCGCCTCCTGGGCGGCGCCTTTGGCGCCTTGGACCCCTCCTGGCCATCCTGGCCGAGTCAGGCAGTCGCGCATGGGCCGATCTTGGGCCAGGCCAGCCGGGCGCATGCACCTGTCTTGGGCCCCAGGGGCCACCGGGCCAGGACAGGTGTGGTTGCATAGTTGGCGCCCTCCGAAGGCGGTTTCCAACCTGCAAGTGCTGCGCCAGCTGCACAAGTCCGAGCTCCCGGTCGAGTTCTGGCACGCGTTCGAGCTCAACGACGCCCACTGCGAGCTGCTGAGCCAGGTTCGGCGGCGAGCGAGGGGGGGAAACGAGAGGGAGGAGGGCGGGGTACTTCCGAACCTTCCGAGAGGGCCCGCCCCTCCTCACTTCCCCCCCCCCCGCGCTCGCCGCCGACAGGTGGGCGCGACGTGTCGCACCCTGCAGTCGCCTGGAGTGTACCCCCAGTGGCAGACGACGCTGCCCGCCATCATGTCGTCCGCGTTCCGCGAGGTGCTGTGGATGGACACGGACGTCACCCCCATTCGGGGGTGGACAGACCTCCTTCCCTGACGCGTCGACTAAGGAATTGGCCGTTCTTTGGTTCGCGAGAGGGCGTCGCGGCCGTCATTTTTGCGGGTCCAGGTTCGTCGGTTTCGGTCCCAGGCCGTTGTCACTAAAGGGAGGTTTACTAGAGGGAGGTTTGTCCACCGCCGACCCATGTACGACCCAGAGCGGCTGTTCGAGACGGAGGACCCCGGGAGGAAGCAGCAGCCACGCGCAGAAAGGGGAAAGGGGGAGAGGGGGAGGGCTTCTCAGGAGCACACCCGCTGCTTAGAAAGCGCGGGCCTCGTCCGTAGATGCAAGGCCGGCGCCTTCTAAGAGGCAGCTTTCTCCTGAGAAGCTTGTCCCCCCTCCCCCATACCCCCTCGGCGCGCGCCGCCGAAAGAAATCCGAAAGGGCAAGAACTCGGGCGGAGAGAACTCTGCACATGCGCCGATCCTGGCAAGGCCCGTCCTCGACCCAGGGGTCGGTGCATGTGCCTTCCTGGCCAAGGTGGGAGGGCGTATGCACCGATGCTGTGCCCAGGATGGGCCTGGCCAGAATCGGTGTATGTGCATAGCTCTTTTTCCTCCATGGACATAACTTGTCCGAGGTCCGCGCGGATGTCCTGGGTCGGCGCTGGGCCCTCCCCCCATCGGCGCCTCAAGGCGCCGCGCCCGAGCGGGCTCCGCGCGCTGGGGGGAGGGGGGATGCACAAGAAATCCGCGCGCGAACCTCCGAGCTTGCATGTTTGTGTCATTTTTCGTACCCCTAGCACCGTCGAACCGCTCCAGCATCCAGCATCGTCGAACCTCTCGGGGGACGCAGAAGGGCATAAACACAACAACTCGGAGGTCCGCGCGGATTCCTCGGATCGGCGCTGGGGCCCCCCCGGCGGCGCCTCTGGCGCCGCACCCCCGCGCGCTCCGCGCGCCAGGGAGGGGGATTCGGTGCGGGTACCAGAAATCCGCGCGGACCTCCAAGCTCGTATGTTTACAGTCGGGGCCCTGAAGAAGGAACCCTTTTGGTTGGGGAGGGGCTCCGCGTTCCTTAAGTGTTTCACAGCTTGCCTCAGGTTTTCCTTCTGCTTTCGATCGGAAATCGAAGTTTAACTGATGGAAAATAGGGGCCTCGTTCCTTATTCAGGGTTCCTGTTGGTCAACGCCCCGACTGTACGCCATTTCTCGTACCCCTGGCGTCGTCGATCCGCTCCCCACCCCTTCCGAGCCACGGCTCGTCGGCCCCCCGGGAGGCCACGCGCCCAGGCGGGGAGAGGGGCCCCGCGAGGCCCGCAGGGAGCAGCGCCGACCCGCAGGGGGGCGCGGGCCTCCGAGAGAGGAGGAGGAGGAGGAGGAGGAGGAGGAGGAGGAGGAGGAGGAGGAGGAGGAGGAGGAGGAGGAGGAGACGGAGGAGGAGGAGGAGGAGGAGGAGGAGGAGGAGGAGGAGGGACGGAGGAGGAGGAGGAGGAGGAGGAGGAGGAGGAGGAGGAGGAGGAGGGCCTCCGTGCCACCTGCCCTGTCCAGAGTCAGGAGGGGACAAAAACACACAACAGACACAATGAATCGTCGATCCCCAGGAAAATATGGGAGAAGATGGGAAGCGGGGGGGGGGGAGACCAAGAGCCAGAACAGATGGGAACAGATGGGTTCTTGTTGTATTTGTGTGTGTACTTCTTTATGTGTCCTGGGGCCCCTTGACAGAGGAGTTCCGCCGGGAGGGGGCGCTGTTCTGGCCGGACCTGTGGGGCATGGAGTGCCCAGACTGGGGCCAGACGGCGTGGGCGGGCCACGTCGCCTGGCACCTGCTGGGCATGCGGCACGACGCCTCCGACGTGCACTGCACCCAGGAGCACGAGGCCGGGCACCTCCTGATCGACAGGGAGCGCCACTGGAGGCCCCTGTGCCTGGCCAACTACCTCGCCTCCCGCGACTTCTTCACGCGGGTGCTGTGGGGCTACAAGGACGTGTTCCGCCTGGCGTGGCTGAAGCTCGGGGCCTCCAGCTGGTACTCCCCCGTGCGCCCCGGGCTGGTCGGCGTGGTGACCGACGACGGGCGCTTCTTCGGCACCATCCTGGCGCACTTCTGGCCGGCGGGGGGGGCCTTCGGCGAGGGCGCCCCCGGGCGCCCCGTGCCCCTGTACCTGCACCAGAAGAAGGTGCCCGGCAGGATGTGGCACGACATCGTGACCTTCGACGTCCCCCTGGGTGGTTGCCCGGACTACCGGGGCGGGAAGCCCTTCTACGCCGAGGAGCACGGGGCGAGGCTGTGGAGCATCCAGGAGACGGACGCCGCCCTGGCGGAGCAGCTCGCGCTCCTTGACGCCGCTTGGGACCTGTTCTTCAGCAGCGCCCTGAGGGCGTTCGAGCAGGACCCGCGCATGTCTGAGGCAGACGTCGCCCGCCTCCACAGGAAGAGGTCCAGGCAGGCAAACTCGGAGTGGAGCCAGGAGGTCAGGGCCTGCAGGTGCGACTACCGCAACAACCGCTGGTTCGCCCTCATCACCGCGACTGCCGCCACCTCCTCGGACAACATGGAGGTCATGACCGAGGAGGACTGCCGCAGCGTCGCGGGCCTCGAGGGCCCCCAGGCTTAGTTGGCCCTGTAAACGGCAGGGCAGATGTTATTGCCGGTTCCGTGTTTTCGTTTTTGGCGCCTTGTTTCGTCGTTGCGTTTTGTTCCGGTTCCGTCGCAGCATTTCTGGCCCAGTTCGAATGCTGTGCCGTCTTGTTGTGTTTCGGTGAGCAGTCGTTTAGCCAGTGTTACCATCAAGGGGCAGATCTCCGGAAACGCTAAAATTCAAGGGCGTTAAAAACGCCCCTGCCCTGGTTTACGAGGCGCTGTGCGCTGGAGCTCCTGTGGGCTGACAGGGTAAACCGTGCATATCGCGCGGCGTCTTGGCGGCTCTCTGGCCTTGGGGAGCTTCCAGGGGGGTTACGCACAACGCACTTGTAACCCAGGGTAGGGGCGTTTTTGCACCCCTCAAAACAACATGATTGCTAAGGCGTTACGGCCAGTGCCGCCGATCCTGGATACCTCGGCCCTCGAGGGTGACGGGATGCGTGATAAGACGTCGGAGGTAAATGAAGACGTGGCGGAGGAGGAGGCGGAGGAGGAGGAGGAAGGGGAGGAGGAGGAGGAGGAGGAGGAGGAGGAGGAGGAGGAGGAGGAGGAGGAGGATGAAGCCTCCAGGCCGTGCCGCCCGCGGAAGACTGCGCGGTGGGCCACCTGACCCTGGCGCTCGGCTGCTCGCAGTCCTTCCTCGCCAGGGGCCTGCTGCCGGAGGCGCGCCGGGCGGCGGCTGCCGTGGCGCGACTGCTGCCAGAGGTGCAAAGAGCGAAAGCACGACGAGCGTGCACGTGCTCGGACATTGGAGCATATGCATCACCGGTGGCGCGCCGTTTTTCAATCCCAGGGTTCTTTGGGGGGTCGGGGGCGACGTCGGGGTGGTGTGGTGTGTGCTCTCCTCCCCGGCTTCCTGGGGGAGCAGCAAGAAGATATACCCACCAGGATCCCGCAGACACCAGAATCCGCATTCCTGTGCAAGTGTCAGTGCAGTGCCGGAAAACGCGTCGGTGTATGGAGGCCAGTTCCCTACAGGGTCTCGAGAGCATGCGTTGCGCGAACGTTCTGAGCGAGAGGCTGGCCTCGCGGAGTGGGTGCCGCACGGTGGGCTCGTGCGGCGTCGGCGCGCCGGCGGCGCCGGCGAGAAAACTCGGCGACGCGGAAGCCACGAGGGACGCGGTGACGCCCCTGCACCCGACGGAATTCAACCTTGGATGATCGGGACCGCGAACGACTCTCGAGGTGGACCGATCCACGCGGCGTCACAAGAGCCTCTGCGCGCGCCGACGCCGCACGAGAGAGCCCTGCTGCATCTCTGGGCGCGCCCGCCTTCTGTTGTGGGCTCCCTGCAGGTGTCCCCGTGCCTCCCGCACTCCTTCTGGCCCCTGGAGGCCGGGGAGCTGGAGGCCTTCGTGCGGCGGTCCACCGCGCATCCCACGCCGGCGGCCCCCGACCTGGCCTACGGGGGCTCCCGCGAGCTGCCACTGGAGACCGGCGGCGCGCACGGGGGGGCGCGGCGAGGGAGGCGCCCTCCTCGGAGGAGCCCCTGCCCCCCGCCGGACTCGCTCGCGAGGCCGCGGGGCGTGAGGCGTCGGAGAGAGAGCGCGCCTTGCCCTCGTGGAGGCTCCTCCTCCTCCTCCTCCTCCGCCTCCTCCCCCTTCCCCCCCCTCCTCCTCCTCCTCCCCCCTCCTCCTCCTCCTCTCCTCCTCCTCCTCCTCCTCCTCCTCCTCCTCCTCCTCCTCTCTCCTCTCTTCTCCCCCTCCTCCTCCTCCTCCTCCTCCTCCTCCTCCTCCTCCTCCTTCTCCTCCTCCTCCTCCTCCTCCTCCTCCTCCTCCTCCTCCTCCTCCTCCTCCACCTCCCCCTCGCTCTGCCCCCCCGCTGCGCTCCGCCAAGCAGATGCTCTCCAGGTTCCCGCTGGCGTACCAGCGGTGCGTGCCTATTCGGGGGGGCGGGTACAACAGGGGCGGCCCTGAAAGCATACCAGAGTGCTCTGGACTCTGAGGGGCCAGCCAGGAGGAGGAGGAGGAGGAGGAAGGGGAGGAGGAGGAGGAGGAGGAGGAGGAGGAGGAGGAGGAAGAGGAGGAGGAACGGGGAGGAAGGGGGAGAAGAGCAGGAAGCGGAGAGGGAGGAGGTTGTCCTCGCAGGTCCGAAACAGAGCAAGAAGAGCCCAGGGGAGTGGGCTAGGGGGTGCTCCCCCCCCCCCTTCGTTGCACCCCCCTCCTCCTCCACCATCCTCCCCCCTCCAAGCTTCATCCTCCTTCCCTTCTTGCTCACCGCTCGCCTCCAACCATCCTTCTCTCCCGCCCTTTCTCCTCCCTCCCTTCTTGCTCTCCGCTCGCCTCCCTGTCCTCCGTTCCCGCCGCCGAGGGGGCAAATATTGGTTGCCGGCATCTGATCGAAGGCGCCCACGGCGAAGCATCGCCGCCCATTCTCTTGTCGGAAGAGCTCGCGTGGCCGAACGCTGGACCAAAGTGTGGTCAACCTGTTGGATTATGTGCCCTCCCAGCTGATGCAGAATCCTTGAGGAAACACTCGGGGGAGGAAGATAGAAAGGAGGAGGAAGAGGAGGAGGAGGAGGAGGAAGAGGAGAAGGGCTGGAAGGTGGATTTGGAGGAGGACGAGGAGACGGTCATGTTGGAGGAGGAGGAGGAGGAGGCCTTTTGAAGGCCTCGGGGGCTTCTGGGGGCCTCTTGGGGGGCCTCTTGGGCCATCTTAGGATTCTCCTTGCCCGTCTGACGCCTTCGGAGAACATTTTGGTGGCACGCTGGAGGCGTCTCTGTACCGTCTTCGAGCTATATTGGAGGTCTCTTGCGCCGTCGTGGGGCCCTCTTGGGGCCGTGTTGGTGGCCTCTCGGGCTATTTTTTTTGTTTTCCATCTCGGGAGCTTATTTGGCCGTTGTGGGGCTATATTGGAGGCATCTGGAGCAGTCGTAGTGTGGCGGACGTCCGAACAGGCGAGAGCGCATGCGCTTGCCACTGATGTTCGCAGGCCCATGAATTTGCAACTTTGGACGCTCCTGGAGATCCTCCTGGAGATCCTCCTGGAGCCCTGTTGGGCCGCATGGGGAGCCTCTTGGGCCGTCGCGAGGCCACCTGGGACCGTTTCGGAGCTCTCCTGTGGCCAATGCGGTCGTCTTGGAAGCGTCTTGGGGCCGTCTTGGGGCCATGGTGGCTGTCCTGGACGCCTGCTTGGAGCCAGCTGGATGGGCCCCCCACTGGGAGCTCTGTTGTGGAGAGGCCGGCACGAGCCCGAAGCCCCGGCACGCCAAGTGTCCCTCTGCAAGCACAACGGGGGCGCCAGATGGCCAGTCTGCTGCTGCCCGTCCCGCCACCGTGCCTCTGGGATGCCTCTCGGGATGCCCATCGAAGGCTTCTCGAAGGGGCTCGTGTGCACGCTTCGGAGCCTCCGAGAGGGCTTCCTGTAGGCCTCGGGGGGCTCAATGGACCTCTTGGAAGCCTATGGGGGTCATGTCGAGCGCCTGGGGGCCAATTGCAGGAGAAGAAGCTCCGGGGGTACCTTCGATGTACAATTTCTTGGGCGGATCTTGAGGTCGGTCTTGCAGGTCCATTGGGCCGGCTTGGGGCCCTCTTGGTATGTTTTGGGGCTCTGTTGGAGGCTTCTTAGGCCGTCTTGGGCCGATCTGAGGGCATATCGGGCCGTGTGGGGAAATGAAGCTCGATAGTGCGAGAACACCGAAAAATGTGAATTGCCTACGCAACAAATGAGAGGCGATGAGTTTGGTTTCTTGGGTGTCCTCTCCAGGAGTCTTGGCGACCTCTTGGTGTGCGGAGGGCATATTGGGCGTTTTCGGGAGCTGTTGGGCCGATCCGGGGCACCTGTGACGCTCTTGGAGCCTCTGGCCCATTTTTCTGGACGCCAGAAATGGGTACGGAAAGAATGGGTACGATGCCCAACAGCAGTTCCTGTTCATTTTGAACAGGACTCGCTGTCCACGCCGCCTCGGCCTGGGTCCATTCGAGACAGACGGCCGCCTGCCCAACAGCGGCCGCTGTCGGTTTGGGGCTACATGTGTTGTTGGGCATTGTACCCATTCTTTCCGTGCCCATTTCGGGCGTCCAGATCACATGAGAATCTGCTGGCCACCAGATGCCCCACAACAATTGCTCGTCTCCCGATGGGCGCAGGTACCCACAGAAGCCATGGGGCACCTTCGGACCCTCAAGGGTCGACGAATAATGTGTCCCAACATCTCTTATGGCGAGATTACTTATGGTCGGAGGTGAGGGGGTGAGATCGAAGTGGAACGGAGAGCCCCCCTACCAGGGAAATCGATTTCGGTTTCGTGTTCGTGCGTGCCGCGCGTGCGGGCGAGGCGAAGCTGCGTGGGCGGGCGAGAGAAAGTCTCCTGTGGCTGAGGCGCGGCCAGACCAAATGACTCCCTTCCGGGCGGCCGGTGGCCCGCGGTGTCCCGCCGGTGTCCCGCGAAAGTCCCGTGTGGCTGAGGCGCGGTCGGACCAAATGACTCCCTTCCGGGCGGCCGGTGGCCCGCGGTGTCCCGCCGGTGTCCCGCGGTGTCCCTCGGTGACCCGCGGTGCCCCGCGGTGTCCCGCCGGTGTCCCGCGGTGTCCCGCGATGATGATGATGATGATGATGATGATGATGATGATGATGATGATGATGATGATGATGATGATGATGATGGTGTTGTTGATGATGATGTTGAGATGAGATGATGATGATGATGATGATGATGATGATGGTGATGTTGATGTTGATGTTGATGATGCTGCTGGTGATGATGATGACGACGATGATGATGATGGTGATGCTGATGATGATGAGGACGATGCTGATGATGATGATGATGATGATGATGATGATCCGATGATGATGGTGTCCCAATGATGATGATGATGATGATGATGATGATGATGATGATGATGATGATGTCGATGATGATGATGATGTCGATGATGATGATGACGATGATAATGATGATGATGATGATGATGATGATGATGATGCTGATGGTGTCCCGATGATGAGGATGA